AATACACACTGTTTTCGGGCTTTGATTTTTAACATGTTTTGCTGGCAAGAAGTAGTGATAGTTCTACGCAACTTGCTGTCATACAGAGTGGCACAGACAAGCTGAGGAGTCAAGAAGGGCACAGTCAGGGCAGATCCAGCTGAGTAGGAGCACCCAGAGAGTCACCCCAGTGTCGCTTGTGTGAGCACCCCACCTCTCCCCTGCTGCGGGTCCACCCAGCTCGACAGAGCGAGCGACTGCCAGGCCCCAACCCCTAATCATCAGCTGGGGAGGGGCAGGGACCTGCGCCTGTGCACTTACGACTTGGTGTATCTGACGCCCGCGGCTTTGCGGTCCAGGATGCCATAGCCCGTGCCAATCACCTCCTTCGTCTTGCCTGTTTCCTCAAAGGCTGACTTCAGCTCCACGGCGACGTATTTGCACACTGCAGTGGGGGACACACAACCCTGCCAGGCCTGAGTGTGCCAGAGCCTGGTTGGGGGGCCAGTGCCCAGCAAGACAACCCAGGTGGGCAGCCCTTCCAGCCTGGCCAAGGTGCTGCTCAAGGAGGGCAGGCCTTAGTGCCACCAAGTGCCCTCATGCTCCTCGGTACTTCTAAAAGCGTCACACATAGCCAGGGTGGTGATGCACACAGGTGGCTGAACCAGGAGGATCGCTGTGAGTTCAAGGCCAGCCAGGGCCATCTAGCTAGCTAGCTCAAAGCCAGTCTAAACTTCTTAGTTTAGAAGTGTCAAAAGAAAAGCTAAATCATATATTCGATTCCCAGCACCACAAGGAAAAAAAGAGGGCTGGGTCGTACCTCAGTAGTGGCATCCTTGCCTAGTATTCGTGAAGCCCTGGGTTCAAGTCCCCCATACCAAAAATAAAATGAAACAAAATAAACCTGCTATTTCTTAACTCTCACCAAAAGAAAAAGCACTGTAATTAGTTGGCTAGAAAGTAACTGACCTCAGAGTTACATCTGTTAACCAATGATTTGGTCACATTATAAGAAATGAGATTTTGGGGCTGGTGAGATGGCTCAGTGGTCTAAAGCACCTACTTAGAACAAGTTTAGCAATCAATCCCCCAGCACCACATGCCAGCCAGCCCCGCCGCCGGTGGGCTGAGCTGGCCACACACACACACACACACACATAAAATAAATAAAAATTAAAAAAAAAAAAGAAATGAGATTTTAAGGAAAAGACAGACCTGTCACTACGATTTACTTCTGACACAGCCCAGGCTTTCTCTCTACAAACTCATGGCCAGGCCAGGCAACTCAGGGAGACCCTATCCCAAAATAAAAAAGCCTGGGCCTGTGAGTTGGCACTGAGCTCAAGCCCCAGTAACACACAAAAACAGCTGCAAATAGGACCTTTCACCCGACCTACGCCAGCATGCGCCTCTCTTGTGCTTCACAAGAACAGGCACTATCTCTGTAACAAAACCATTACAACACTTGGAAAATTAATAGTAAACGCTTGTCACCTAGTTGTCCCTGTTAACATTTCCCTAACTCTCCCCCAAATGTCTTATATGGCCATTTTTGCATTTTTTAAAAAATTTATGTATTTTGTACAGGGTCTCACTATGTGTCTAAGACTCATAGTGGTTCCCCTGTTTTCAGCTTCCCCAAGCACTGGGATTACAGGCCTGCAGCACTATGCCCATAGTCAGTGGCCAGCACAGCACGCCCAGGGACGGGGCCAGTGCAGCATGTGGTACTGGGGATCAAACCCTGGTCCCATGTTTGCCTAAGCAGGAGCTTAGTCTGCTGAGCTACCTCACGGGCCCTTGGTTTTGGTTTTTGGAGACAGGGTCTTTTTTTTTTTTTTATAGGATTTTTTTTTAAAATTTATTTATTTATTTATGTGTGTGTGTGTGGCCAGCTCAGCCCACCAGGGTGCGGGGCTGGCTGGCATGTGGTGCTGGAGGATTGAACCGTGGTCCCTGTGCTTTGCTAAACTTGTTCTAAGTAGGTGCTTTAGACCACTGAGCCATCTCACCAGCCCCTGGAGACAGGGTCTTGCTATGTAATTCACGCTGGCCTTGAACAGCCTGAATGGCGGGATCACAGGCCTGCGCAACCACCCTTGGCTTCTTCATGGCTGTTTTATCTCGACTTCATGGGTTCCAGAGCCGCTGTCTATTCCTGCCACATGAGTGTGTGCTGCCTCCTTGGAGAGGCCTTGCCTGGCTGTCTCTGGAGGCTCTCAGTCATTTCCTTCCCTTCCTCAGTCATTAAGCAACTCCTGTGTGGCAGGCACCACTAGGAGCAGACAGAAACAAGGTTCTCTCTTTTTTTTTTTTTTTTGATACAGAGTCTCACTATGTAGTTCTGACGCATAGTGATCCTCCTGTCTCAGCCTCTCCAGTGCTGGGATTACAGGGATGTGCCACCATGCTCAGTTTCGGTGGCCAGCATGGCACGCGGTACGGGGGATTGAACTCAGGACCTTGCACTTGCCAGGCAGGTGCTTTACCCTTCAAGCTATCTCCCCAGCTCAAGGCCCTCTTTCCAAGACATTGAGCCTCAAAGAGGAGGCAGCCGTGTAGACCATCACCACACTGATGCCTGCTAGATTTTGCCACCTATTCTCTTTTTTTTATTTATTTATTTTATTTATTTATTTGTGTGTGTGTGTGTGTGTGTGTGTGGCCAGCTCAGCCCGCCAGGGGGTGGGGCGACTGGCATGTGGTGCTGGGGGATTGAACCGCGGTCCCTCTGTTTTGCTAAGCTTGTTCTAAGTAGGTGCTTTAGACCACTGAGCCATCTCACCAGCCCCGCCACCTATTCTCTTAACGGACATTGCATTAAACCTCCACTCTGAGCCAGGAGTGGTGTGGCACGTCTGTAGCCCCGGCACTCGGGAGGCTGAGGCAGGAGGAAGATCCTTGAGACCAGCCTGGGCTACAAAGTAAGCTCAAGGCCAGCCTGAACTGCATAGGGAGACCCTCTCTAAAAAGACAAAAGCAAAAACAAAACAGAAAACCTCCACTCTCCTTAAGCCCTCCAGAACTAATCCTACCCTACCCACTCTGATTTCAGCTCTACAGCCTCCTTCCTCTCCCTAGACTACAAGAGTCACTAATGTCCCCATGTACTGGATGTTCCCGTGTCTCCACACAGTTAGGACTGGGGCATCTTGGTCAACACAGTGATGCCTGTAGCCGAGTGGCAGCTGAGGCCTCAGAATGGAATTCAGCCTGCAGGCCAAATGCTACCTGCGCTGTACAACACTGACAGCAGAACGCAGAGATGTGCGGTCAAAATATATGGGGTTCAAAAAAATTTTTTTTCTTTAAATGCTGTTTAAAGTTTAAGATTTTATTACAACTGGCAGGCATGGTGATGCAGGCCTGTAATCCCAGTGCTTGAGAGGCTGAGACAGGATGATTATGGCCAGCATAGGCTACAGTCAGTTCCAAATAAGCCTGAACTACAAGAATCCCCCCAAAATTCCCCCTTCCTTGGGAACACACTCATCCTTTTTTTTTTTTTTTTTTGTGGGACCGGGGATTGAACTCAGACCCTTGTGCTTGCCAGGCAAGCGCTTATTCCACTGAGCCTTCTCCCCAGCGCCAACACACTCATCCTGTCATCCTCTCCACTTTCTGCAGCAGATCTAGACTTCTCTTGCCTGAGTGTCTTCATGAGATGTGATAATATATATATATATCTGCTGCTGTCCACCAGAATAACAGGCTAGTAAAAACATGATGCTGTGTCCTCACCTACCTCAGTCACTGGATCTGGTACCGTGTGACCTCTGGGGCTTGCCCAAAGTCAAAGTGACATGAAAGGGAGACATTCTGAATCAATTTAGGATATCACACACCCGGGGCAGTGCAACTACAGACACTCAAGAAAGAGGGCTCCAGAGCTGCTGCAGAAAGCAGCAAGAACGATGGGGTGAGTGTGCTCGAAGCAAAGAAGATTCTGAGGGGGGTTCACTGCGATGTCCTTCACTGTAATAATTTTTTTTTATGTATTTAGTACAGGTCTACAGGATCTCATTACACAGATCGGACTCGGAGTGACCCTTCCTGTTTTTCAGCCTCCAAATGCTGGGATTATAGGCATGTACCATCACCCCTAGTCTCATTTGCCCTCTCAGCCCGCCCCAGGGGCTAGGCCCATCCAGCAGGCCGGGGATTAAACCCCAGGTCCCTATGTCTGCTTAAGCAGACACTTTAATCCGCTGAACTGTCTGGTGTGCTCTAATAATTTTTTTTTTTTTTTCTAATTTTAGGGCAGAGTCTACAGGGTCTCACTGTGTAGATCTGCCTCTTCGTCAGTCTCCTGTTTTCAGCTTCCCAAGCGCAGGGATTACAGGCGTGCTCTACCACGCCCAGTCTCAATCACCCTGGGGGCAGGGCCGATTAAGCTCTGCCTAAGCAGGTGCTTTTATAATAAAATTTTTAAAGTAAAACTAAAACAAAATGTATACGCAAATCATCTTCACCTTCTCCTTCTCCTTCTTTCTTTCGGAACCGGGGATTGAACTCAGGCCCTTGCACTTGCCAGGCAAGCACTTATTCCACTGAGCCATCTTCCTGGCCCCATCTCCTGAAAGTCTGCTTGATGCAATTCTGTCCTGAGCACACTGATCGATGGCTTGCAGGACTCGGGACACACAAACACTCCAAGTTCTGAGCTGTGACCTCCGGTCCAGGGTGCACTAAGGTCACCCCGCCCCCTGGCCCTCCCTCATCCACCCCTGGCTTTCCTGTCCTCCAGGCCTGCATTCCTGGAAGCTCAGCATTTCTCTTGCTCCCCCCTACCCTGTCGCCCCTACTCTCCATGTACAGTATTCCAAGGGGGGAAAGCCAAAGCCTGGGACACTTTCTCTATTCTATCCGTCAGCCACAACCTTGCTTCCAACTCTTCCAGATGTAGCCTCTGGAGAGCCCTCCAGGAATCCCGCTTGGAGGAACCCATGGCACAGGCCCCCCCCAACCCCAGGCCCCAGTGGGCATCTGCCTGCTCCTTTCTGGGCAGCTCCTCCTTGCTCCAGCCAGAGTCTGTTCTCACCTGGACAGCAAGCCTGAAGGCAGGCTTTTCTAGCCAGACTCTGTCAGCACTTAATAACAAAACTGCAGTAATGGTAATAAATACAACATTAAGAGCAGCCTACGGGCGGGCGGGAGTCTGCCAAGCTATTCTGTAACTGGAAATCCCTTGTAAATTAACCTTCACCAATTATAAAATGAGGCTGGGCTAGAAAGATCTCTAAGATCTTTGCCAGCTCTGGGCTTCTGGGTCTGTAGATGTCTCTCAAGCCAAAGAAATGTGAGCCTCTCAGGCCGTGAGAATCCTAAGAGGAATGGGGGGACTCTTTGGTATCAGAATAAATCAGAAAGCAAAGAAAAGAGGAAGAGAAACAACCAGAGATCAGTCAGGAGTGGAGGAAGAGGCGCAGAAAGCACCTGACAGGTGGGACCCACTCAGGTTTCCAGTGAGGTCTGGGGTCTCTGGAACAGCTCACTTCTCATCAGGCAAATGGAAGGATTATGTGCACCAAACCACTCACTGCACGTCCAGAGCTCAGGGAACATCTGGCCCAGTGCAGGCTTTGCATTAGGATGAACCTGATTCACAGCCAACTTGCTGGATGGCCTGGAGTGAAGGGGTGGAAAGGAAAGAGTGACTGGAAAGGTCACAGTAGAAAACTGAGAACTGTCCGGGATCCCTGGCCAGCTCTCGCAAACACCTGCTTCCCCTCCTTTTTGTTTGTTTTTTGACACAGGGCCTCACTGTGTAGTTCAGCCTGACTGCAAACTCACTGCCATCTTCCTGCTTCAGCCTCCTGAAGGCTTCGATTACAGAAGCCGGCTCCTGCTTCTGCTTCTTCGTTTCGGGGACTTCCCTTTTCTCAGTATTTCTAAAACCTTCCTCCTTTACCCACTTTTGCCAGGCCTCCTCCAGAATGTCCGTCTTAGGGCCTAGGACTTTCCTCCTTCCGCCATACCCGTGCGACCCCCATTTCACCGTTCCAGTTCTAAACACTCCTCCTGAGTGCTTACCAGAGAGTATCTAAGACAAAGTCCCTGTCCACAGGAGCTGTCAGAGGGGCCACTGCGCACTGCACAGCGGAGAGGGAAGCCAGGGGAGTCTCAGAGCCGCTTCTCCGTTTCAAGTTCCTCAAACTCGTCGGGGCTGCCGAGCCAGGCCTGCCCTGCTCTAGGCGCCCCTCTCCCCAATTCTCACACGCCTACTCTACCCTGCAGGCTCCGGCACGTCGTCTTCCCGAGGCCCCCTGCACCTCAACTGCAGGTAGAATCCGCGGCTTCCCCCGGCCCCGAGCCCTGCGCGTCCCCTGTCACGGGATCTCCGGCACCCCAGTGCCCAGCACCCACCCCAGCACCCAGCCCAGCACCCATGCAGCACCCAGTAGGTCCCAGCAACCCGCCCCAGCCCGGACCTTAGCCCCGCCCCCGCCCCGCCCCCTCACCTTCGCATTTGCTGGGCAGCCGGACCCAGTCGGTCTCTTCTGCCCAGGCCTGGCTCGGCCCCAGCTCCGGGGCTGACAGCAGCAGCAGCAGCAAGGGGAGAAGCAGAAGGCAGCGGGGCGCGAGCTCGATCAGCGACTCCATGGCACTGGCGGACCGGATCCGCGCCGACCAGGAGTCGCTTCCTCCCGCGGCGCGCGCCCAGCAGCTTCCCCGCGCCGCTTCCGGGACTGCGCACGTGCCTCGGCGTAACCACGGCAACCGCGAGCCCCCTTACACCCCTTTCCCCCTCGAGGCCTCAGCCCGCCTTCCTAACGGACAGATGATACATCCAATGGAATTTCTCAGGGTTTGCCTTCTAGCCAATAGAAGACGAGTCTTTCTCGGTTTTGGCTAATAAGAGAGCCGATGGTGGCTTCAGGGACCTATGGCTACGTTTTCCCCACCCCTTCACAGAGGGTCTGGGAGAGGTTGGAGGACCTGGACCCTGGGACTAGAGCATCGGGTCTGGCCCTGCCTGGGCGGGTATGGACGCCCTGGTGAGGAGGATGTGGGGAAGACTTTGTCCGTGGTTTTCTCCTCTTGCTTAAGCATCACTTCCTACCTAAGGTCCTAAAAGCCTCGCTGAACGCTATCCTTGCTTGAGACGTTTCTAGGTAAATGGATGATAAATGAAATAAATCAGACACACGTGTAAATACTGCATCGTTTCTCTGGTGTGAGAAACCGGAAGTGTAAATAAGGACCAAACTACGATATTGAGAAATGGGAAGAAAATGTTCAAATGGGGAGGGGAACTAGAGAGGGGGAGGGGAAAAGGAAAAAAGAAAAAAAGTTTTTGTTTTTTTTTTTAAATTTTATTTGTGTGTGTGTGTGTGTGTGTGTGGCCCGCTCAGCCCACCAGGGGGTGGGGCTGGCTGGCATGTGGTGCTGGGGGATTGAACCGCGGTCCCTGTGCTTTGCTAAGCTTGT